ACTTTTAACTCTTTACTATGTCCCCCACCACCTCCACCCACTAACTCATTCACTGCCCAGGACATTGCTATTCATTTGAAAAAACAAGATAGATGCAACTTGTGATGAGATCTCCATTGTCCAGCTATCTTCAACAATTAGCATATCAGGTCCAGCACCACACTTGTTACTTTCCTCTTTCGACCCTGTCACTACGGAGGAGGTTGCAAAGCTTTTCTCTGACACCTGTCCCACCCACTGCCCCTGGACCCTGTTCCCTCACCACGACTTTGGTCATCCTCTTGCTCTATCCTGCAATCTCTTACTCACACCTTCAATCTTTCCCTCCCCACTAAAACATGCACCAACATGAACAATCTCCTTAGTCCCATTCACCTCCAAACACCTAGAACGTCTAATCTACAACCCCCTAAGCTGCCACCTCACTGATATCAACCTTCTCGACCCCTTACAGTCTAGCTTTCGCCAACAACAATCCACTGAAATTGCCCTTTAAAAACTCAATGATGACTTACTGACTGCTAAAAAACGAATGGCCATTACTCCCTACTCTTGCAATTATAACTTTCTGCTGCTTTTAACACAGTTGACCACCCGCTCCTTCTCAAAAAAATCCACTCGCTTGGCCTCTCCCACTATCTATAGAAGTGCTCCTTTAGTGTCACTGTAGGGGTCCTTCAATGCTCTGTCCTCAAACCTCTTCTTTTCTCTATCTACACCTCCTCCCTTGATCAGTTGATAACCTTGCATGGTTTTCAATACCATCTCTATGCTGATGACACACAAATATATCTCTCCACTCCACAGCTCACCCCTTCTGTGTCCTTGCTTGTCATAATTTATTAAACTAACATATCGTTCTGGATGTCACACCACTTCTTAAAACTCAATCTTTCAAAAACTGAGCTCATGATATTTCCTCCCTTCCTCCCCTGTGCTTCCCCCAACTTTTCCACTTAGATTGATAACACAACTACCACCCTGCCAAGGTGCTAGGTGTAATCCAGGAAACTCACCTCACCTTGCAAATCCACATCTCATCACTATCCAAATCCTGCCGCCTTCACCTCCAAAATCCACCCTTCCTAACTAATAAAATCAAAAAGATACTGATTCAAATACTTATCTCTCGTCTTGACTATTGAAACTCCCTCCTTATTGTCCTAACACAAGCTGTTCTCCCCTTCAGTCTATCATGAATGCTGCTGCCAGCCTCATCCACCTCACCAACCACTCAGTGTCTGCAACCCCTCTTTGCCAATCACTACTTCCAATCGCCCAAAGAATAAAATTCAAAATATCAACAGCCACTTACAAAGCCATTCACAACTCTGTCCCCAGCTATATCTTGCACTTGTCTCAAAGTTTTTCCTTAACTGCCTTCTCTGCTCCTCCTAAGACCTCCTGCTCTCTATCTCTCTCATCAACTCCTCCCATGCTGCCCTCAAGGATTTCTCTATAGTCTCTTCTATCCTCCAAATCTCCCTACTACAAACTGTCCAGTTATCTCCTACTCTGCCTTCCTTTAGCCAATCCCTGAAAACCCATCTCTTCACGGAAGTCTATCCCACCTCTACCTAAACCCTTAACTATTACTTTCTCAAACAACTCAACCTCACACAGCTACCACCTCTTGTATCACTTGCTCCTCCCTTTTAGATTGTAAGCTCTCACAAACCGGGCCCTCCTAACTATCTTGTCTTGAGTTGTATTGTAACTATAATGTCTTCTTATTTTGTAAATCACTGTGCAAACTGTTGGTACAATATAAATCCTGTATTATAACATTAATAATAATAATAATAATAAGTAAAATGCACATGGAATATTTCATATTTGCATGACTCAATTTTATAAATATAATAAATTCATACGAGAATACTATTCTATTCTAATATATGGTGCTTTCTGGCTACATAAATTAGAATATCTGGTTACTGCATTCTATAAGATATTGACCCATACCTGCCTACAAAAAGTATTTTATAAGGTATGTTACCTTTTTCTCCAAATCTGGGGTCTGGAATGTGAGAATAAATTTCTTAACGTGATCTTTTCGCAACTGGTCAATACTTCTTGCATCTATTGCCCTTGCCAGAAACTCATCAACTTCATCCTCTGGATTAAGAGCCTCTTGTGTGTTTCTGCTGCAAAATGCAAAGGAAAATACATAAATATAAGCCTTGTGATACAAATGGGACATGACAATGGTTGACTCCTTGTGGTAAATAAGGGTTATGTTAATTGTTTCTCTCAAGGGGGGTACACAGACTGATCATAATGGAGAAAACATGACATAAATGTCCTTATTTATGTAATAGGAAGACGACCCCTCTGTGTTGTCTATACTAATCAACTAGATGTTGCCCTTTTCCAGTTTAGGTTCAAAATAGAAAGGAGCATCTAATCACTTAGAAAACACCAACAGTGTTAAAAATTGTACTATATTCCCTGCATTTTATTAATTGTTATTGCAGATAGTATACCTTCCAAAATACCCTGTTGCAAGTACATGAGGGGATGTACTTGTACTTGGGCCTGAAAAAGTGGCATCGGGACATCCCTAATAGTAAACAATATTACTGTACATAGGTTAATGGCAAATGCTCAAAATACTGCTAAAGTTCAGTAATATATATCTCAACTAGACTAGGTCTAACAGAAAGACATTTCTACATTGCAGGCTGTACAAAAAGTGCACAATTAGATTCTGCTGTTATAGCATTTTTTTACTTACTTGTCTTTGCTTGATTCATCAATGCCCTGTAAAAACAAAAATAGAAAACTATTTAGCAAAGTGATCCCTTTAACAACACTGTATATTGTCATATATCCAGTTTAGGTATAAAGGGTGGTGTAGACTAACTTCCATAGATGGCCAAACCTCCAAATACTCTTAGCAAGTAATTTGAAAGAAAAGAAGAACAATGCAAGCTATATATTGCTCCACATAAAGTCACCAGTATGTTACAAAATGAAAAGGTCTACTTATAGATCAATTACACCCAGTATTGGGCCTTCTCTGCTGTCCGGGACACAGAGAAGTTTCGCATTTTTTAACTGAGCTACTGCTGTCCCAAGCCAAACTAGTATCTCCATACTTTCACATATTTAATTACCTCCCTAGAGGGAATTGGGAACTGGACAGTGGTCCTAGAGAAGATTAAAGCCAGTCTACTTCACCCAAAACAGAGGTTAAGAGCACCTCTTCTGACAATGCATGAAACTAGTATTCACTTATATAGCAGTCTATTCTTATCTTTCTTATTAATGGGCTCTTATCAACCCTAACACTGAGTTTTTTTAAAACTGGTATAAATATTCCCTGGGTATCCAAGAGAGCCATTAAACCTTCCATTGCTATAGACGTTCTTTAACAGAATAATAGATCATAAGCTCAAATGCAATGTAAAAATGTGGGTTATATCTCAAATTACCCCCAATGTATTCATTCCATTGTGAAAGCTGGTACACTAAACATAGAGATATTTTGTGCATGAAGTGAAATGGTAGGAGCCCTCACAAATCATATAAATATTATTTATTGGTATTTTTATATAGCGACTACAATTTTACGCAGCGCTTTACACAGTGCACATTCACATCAGTCCCTGCCCTCAACAATCCAAGGTCCCTATCTCACGCATGTATACATACAACGGCCAATTTAGACAGGAGCTAATTAACCCTCCAGCATGTTTTTGGAGTGTGGGAGGAAACTGGAGTACACGGAGGAAACCCACACAAGCACAGGGAGAACATGCAAACCCCTTGTAGATAGTGTAGATAGCCACTGTGCTGCCTAATAAATAAATACTTTTGAATTTGCATTGAAATACTGTTGTGCCAGTTGCTTTATATGGCTTTCAATGTAGAGGTTTAAGAAGCAGATTCAGATGCCATTGCTGACCTTTCTTTCTGAAAATGCTAGATGTCAGTATGGTAGCCAAGCAAATTGCACTTTTGGAATGAGGGTTTAGCAATGGTAGCCTGTGTATTTCCCTCAACACAATTGTCCATTCAGAATACACTAAAACCTTAATGTATGAAGTAAACAAAACAATAAAAGAAAAAGAGAAAGTGGGGCTTTGATGGCACCGAATGACAAGTCCAATACACCACAAAATTGCTTTAGTTAAAAGATATTGTTTTATTGGATACAAAAAAGTTAAAAAAGGCCATAGTTAACATCAACAAGTACATCATGATTGAGAAATACCACAGAACCCACTCATTTCCATGAATTAGGCATATAGCATAACCACAACATGATTAGGATGGTTGGTAAAAAACATAAGAACCTGATCAATGATTAAGCAATCTCATCAATGATAGGAAATTACACAAAAAAACAATATCAAAAGTAATAAATAAGGATATAAACCAGTCCAAGTTCATGTAAATAAGTAGCCTTATCCAGAAACAGGAGAGTGGATAGATTTCTACGTGTGTTGCGCATCTAGCGCTTCATCAGGAAATGGAGGAAATCCAGTGCTGAGCCAATGGATGCATACACAGAACACCAGCCAGAACGGAAAGGTCAAAAAACCCCAGGCGATGAGATGGAAGCCAGGCCACCAAAAGACCGTATGAGGGGTGATGGAAACACCCTTTTTTGTATCCAATAAAACAATATCTTTTAATTGAAGCAATTATGTGGTATATTGGACTTGTCATTCGGTGCCATGAAAGCCCCACTTTCTCTTTTTATTTTACTGTTTTGACCAATTCAGGGGCGTGACACCACTTACTCAGGATTTGTTCACAAAACCTTTGCTTTGAGTATATGAAGTAAACAAAAACACAAGGGCAGCACTTCCCTAAGCGCCTACCTTTTTGCATGATGATACTGCTACAAAACTACATGTGCACTTAAAAACACCTTGTGATTCAGGATTCTAGCCTTAAATTGCCCATAGATCTAGGTAGGTATGATGTGACTGCCCCTAGGGCAAAGTCGTCCTCAGGGTGCTCCATTAACTTTTAATCTAGGCTAAACTTACAAGTACAGTATCTCCTATACAGAGGGTTAGAGCAGGGAGCAGTAAGAGGCACCAGCTTCACAAAAGGAAGAGGGGTGATGGGTGCAGGTTTCTAAATCTGCTTGATGGATTTGTTTTCCTCCTTAGGCTGGGTTCACACCTGGGCGTACGGAATACAGCGTTTGCAGTAAAAGAAACGTGCAACAAACGCGCGTTTCCGAGGGCTATCCGGCTGTATCATTTTGGATACATGCGGAAAATACACCCCAAAAAAGCTTCTGTACTTCTTTGGGCGTAGGGCGTTTTTCATCGCGTTCCTACGCGCTGAAATACGCCCAGGTGGGAACCATGCCCATAGGCAATTATTGGTTTTCACATGTTGAGCGTTTTACAGCGCGTAGTTGTAAAACGCCCAGGTGTGAACCAGGCCTGAGAGTTGTCATAAGGCAGATGTGTAAGGGTTATATAGCCATGTGATTACTGCCTGAGATTCCAAATGGAAACAAACATGCTGCAAATATTAACAAATATGATGAAAATAGAGGATTATTACACACACCACTCATGCAGACTTTGATCAATTAGTCATGTCTAACAATAGTTTATTTACAACACCCTCACGCACACAAAACACACATCTGCTCATGAAACTGGTACACTGCGGTATATCACAGGAAACAATTAAATCATCAGTTTGGCAAGTCATGCAGAAATGATGTCATTTTGGCACAGACACAAATTCAAGGGGACCTGTTAGCAAAGAATTCTGGGAGTAGCTGTTGCTGATTTTTTTTCTAGTTGCAGGCTTTAAGGCTCTCATCCTGATTCTAGCTTAATAACCTAGTGAATTCAAGGCCCAGAACAAGTATCAGGTACAGTTCAAACTCTGTCCTGGAACCTTCACCTTTTAAAACAAGTTGCCAAATGCACCTCCCATTCATCTATCTTATCTATCTATCTTATCTATCTTTCCATCTATCTATCCTTGAGCATTAATTTAAAATTGTCTGTAGAAAAGTCTGCTATAAGGCAAATCAAGGCTGATGAACCACAATGGTAAGAAATGGTACTACAGCAGGTTAAAACACTATTGGTTGATCTAAAAAAAAACCCAGACATCGATGCAGTCATATACAGTATACACAGATATACATTATGCAAAATAACCCCCTTCGAGGCATGGGCTCCACCAGACCTCTGAAAGTATGCTGTGGTATCTGGCACCAAGCTGTCAGTAACATTTCCTTGAAGTTCTGTAAGTTGCGATTTGGAGCTTCCATGTAGCGAACTTGTTTTTACAGAACATCTTACAGATGCTTAATTGGATTGAGATCTGGGGAATCATGTTCCTCCTTGTGTTCCTCAAACTATTCCTGAACCATTTTTGTAGTATGACAGGGCATATTATACTACTGAAAGCGGCCACTGCCATCAGGGAATACCGTTTCCATTAAGGTGTTCACTTGGTCAGCAACAATGTTTAGGAAATTGGTATGTGCCAAAGTAACATCTACATGAATGGCAGGACCCAAGGTTTCCTAGCAGAACAACACACTACCTCCACCAGCTTGCCTTCTTCCCATATGGTATCCTGGTGCCATCTCTTTCCCAGGTAAGCAGCATTCATGCACCCATCATCCACATGTTTTAAAAGAAAATGCGATTTGTCAGACCAGGCCACCTTATTCCACTGCTCCGTGATGTAGTTCTGATGTTCACGTGCCCATTGTAGGCACTTTTGGTGGTTAACACGGGTCGGCATGGGCACCCTAACTGGCAACTACGCAGCACCATACGCAACAAACTGCTACGCACTGTGTGTTCAGACACTTTTCTATCAGAACCAGCATTAACTTTTTTAGCAATTTGAGCTACAGTAGCTCTTCTATTGAATCGGATTACACGAGCCAGCTTGCACTCCCCATGTGCATTAATGAGCCTTGGCCGCCCATGACCCCGTCACTGGTTCACCAGTTTTTCTTCCTTGAACCACTTTGGTAGGTCCTGACCACTGCAGAACAGCAACATCCCACAGGAGCTGCAGTTTTGGAGTTGCTCTGACCCAGTCATTTAGCCATCACAATTTGGCCCTTGTCAAAGTTGCTCAAATCCTTAAGGTGCCCATAGACTGCTTGATTCTCGTACGAGAATCGCGGGAAATCCCACGATCGTACGAGAATCGAGCAGTGTGAACGAAGACGTGCGACCGTTTCTACTGTACGGTCGCACGTCTTTTGTCGAACCAGCATGCTCGAAAACCCGCCGAGAATCGTACGATTGTCGGCGGGTTTCTTGCCTGCTCGTTCGACAGCTGCGGAACGGGCCGCTGTGTGCACGTGCACACTGCCTGTTCTGCATTGCGGTCATCGGAAGCCCGCCCCTCAGCAGGGCGGGCTTTTGAGGATCGCAAGTACGATCTGCTTGTCCAAGATGGGCAGATCGTACGAGCTTTTAATAAGCTTGCGATGGTCGTAAGGTGTATGGGCACCTTTACGCTTGGCCATTCTTTCAGAAATAAGAGTGTTAATAGTTTATTTTGATCAACAAAATGGAAAGTAAATGATCAGAAGAGAAATCCAAATCAAATCAATATTTATATCTATATCTGTCAGTGGTCATTATGTTATGGCTGACCAGTGTATTGCAGGGGTTGCAGTTGGGACCTGGCTCTGGTGCTCCACCACTGTCCTGAAATCATTAGTCTGTATTGTTTTAGAAAAACTGTCTCATGACAATAAACAAAAATTTATCAGTACTCGTACGTGTAAGTACTCTGCAAGT